GAATGGCCCCCTCTCGTTTGTAAATTTCTTATGTTCTTATAAAAATAATTTTTCAGGGGGGCTGAGAGAGAAAAAAATAGGGTGGGTGAAGCCCACATAAATAGCATCTGCAATTCTGTTACATATTTTACAATAACCCATTGCCCTATATACTGCAATTATTCAATGTTAGCTAATTAAATTAAGTCTAGTCACAATGTAACAAAACTCAGTTAAGCTAGATAGCCTAAATGTTGATACCTGTAAACTGTTGTGTTGCAATGTTGCAATACCCATAAACGGTTTCTCCCTGAATGAGACAGAAAAGAGGCTCTAGAAGCGTCCAGCTCGCGGTTGCCTCCTGCTGCTGCTACGTCACAGCGCTGAAACAAGGAGGGCAGACGCGCGAGTCTGTGAACGAGATTAGCTACGGATTTTTCCTTTATTTTGCTGAAATATCTCACCGTTGAAGGAAATACGGGAAATCAAACAGAACGGTGGCCAATACGGGGATCGGGGAGCTAAGAACAAGATAGTTACGAGATGTAAGTTTTCGGTGGAGAGTATGAGTGCAAACGTGGTGAGCGGCTTCATCGTTCGTGAGCGCTTGTTTCGTTTTATTGGTGATGCTTAATGTTTATTAAACATTTGGTTCCCAAGCTGGGTGTTACCTGTGTCAGTAACAGATAATATGTACACGCTGGTGCTGTTAGCGTAGAGGTACAGATAGCGGTAGACTGCTAGGCCTTCTGTCCTATCGCGGTTAGCTAGCTGGTTCTATGGGGCTACTCGCGTATACGTCTCTCGGCAATTAATACGCTAATTAATCGACATATTGGCGTTTATCACATTACTGCTTTTTCCCTACTGTTTTGTTTTACCAATGATGTTACATAGTTGTTTAAGTCATAAGTGAACCGTTGTAGAAATCGCACGTTCTGTCCCTAGATACAGGTTTACGGGTCCATCTTTTTAATATACTTCTTTTTCATATACACAAACAAGTGCTTTTCACGTGCGCTGGCGAAATTTGGAAAGCCATTTATACTTTATAAAAATCTGCTGGTGAACTCCTAGTACAGTACCGTTAAACCGAAAGTAATCTTAAGGGTAAAATAATGAATGAACGCTCCCCCCCCCCCTTTTGCGGTTGGTGCGGGGAGCAGGAAAGTGGAAGAATGAGACTTTATATTAAGCTGTTAAAATTTGCTGAAGCAAATCGAGCAGTCAAGTAGCCTTTGGAACTAAGATAACCTAAATACCCGTCCAAGTTTAGCATTGTCGTCAGTTTTGACACTGCTTTTTATTAGTTTAACGAGGAGTGAGTACTTATATGGCCGTACACCAGGGTGCTACTCCATTTAGAAAGCTTTTTGTTCCCTAAGACCGCTTGAAATGGTTCTGTATTTAATTACATTTATATTTTAATTTGGTGTCTTCTTATAAGCTTTTAGTATCTTTGTTTAAAGCAGGCGAGATCTATTCATTGACAAGCTTTTAACAATGCCATTGAACATTATCTTTCATTAAATACAAAGTACAGGAATATTAATAAACAACCTGATGTAGCTGATTTAATAAAGGTAGATGTTGCCTGAATATCCTACAGATGGTGATGTAGCTAAATGCATTTATTTGAAATGCTATCCGTGTTTTTTAATTTTATTTAAATCTAGACACTGACAAATGTTCACAATTTCACAAGTGTAGTGTTTTATTACTCTAGCTGTTCCAGTATCTCAAAATATTCTGCTTTGAAAGGTTCCTGTAATGTTTTCACATGCTTTTCTTCTCTCAACAGGCTGCCAGCAACTACGAAGTGGTATGACAGACGCGACTGTGTTGTTATTGAGTTTTGTGTTGAAGATAGTAAAGATGTAAAGGTGAAATTTGAAAAATCAAAGATGAATTTTACGTAAGTAAGAAATCTCGCCCCACACAAGATTGCAACTGTTTTTAAATATTTTTTTTTAAAATGTCGTCTGGTATATTTGTACACAAACATACAAAGCTCCTCGCTTTATGATGGTTCAATTTAAGATATTTTGACTTTGGTGTGATACCAATGCACATTCATTGGTTAACTTCAAATTTTGATCTGTTTCCAGACTAGCTGTGTTAATCCACCCAGTCACATTTCCAATCTCGGTTGTGATTGTGAGCATAAACATCTCATCAGTGATGGGAAAAGTACTCAGTTTTCATACTTAAAAGTACATGTGTGAAAGTAAAGATACCGCATCAAAATGTTACTCGTGTAAGTCATCCCGTAAGGGCGTACTCGCACTTGGCCCGGCTACCTTGTATCACGCCCAAGCACGATTGCCCCTCCTCTTCACTTCCCCCACTGGCCTGTGCTCACCTTGAACTTAACAATCCTGGCCTGAGCACAGTTTCGTCATCACTGCAACTTTTTTGTGTTGAAGGAGGAGAATGCTGTCGCACAACAGAATAGAATTCACGATTAATGTCCTAATTTTGTGGCTCATTTTGGAGTCGTTTTGGTCACCAGATTCCCCAGATCTCAATCCAGTCGATCGTCTGTGGGATGTGCTGGACAAATAAGTCTGCATGGAGGCCCAAACTCACAACATACAGAAGTTAGGATCTGCTGCTAAGGTTTTTGGGCCAGATACCACAGGACACCTTCACAGATCTTGTGGAATCCATACATCATGGGATTGGAGCTGTTTTACAGGGCTCCAGACAAAAAAAAAAAAAACACTTTTGGAGCCGTTGGCTCCTAAACCCAAAATATTTAGGAGGCCTAATCTCCATCACATGCCAGATGTGAAATAAAAAATTCTTCCATGGCATATTATGTCTCCTATCTGCCACATGCTGCCTTTTCTTTCTCCGGTCTGAGTTATCTGATCTGCTTACAATTGCCTTCTGCATTCTTATACATAATAATAAATGACACAGAAATATATAATATGCAAGCAAGACAGCTGGGCTATATCATGAAGTGCACAAACAAACATTGAAATATTAATTAACATTCGCCAATAAAGAAACCTGGAAAACCAAGGGGTGTTGCTTTTGTTGAAAGATTTTACAGCCGGAAAACTGAAGATGAAGCTAACTGTAGCGTGGTGTCATAGTTAAGGTTTAAACCCGAACCCACATTCAGGGATACCTCCCTGGTACTCTGCCATGATGTACAGTATGTGGAAATATGTGGATCTGTACTGAAATATTCCAAGAAGCAGGTCTGTGTTTGAAACTTAACACCAAGCATTTTAGTCACTTGCTGGAGCCCTGTTATGGTGGCACGAAGTGGACCTTCACCATACTCACCCTGCTCCTAGAACATGTTAGTCTCTGCAGGTTTTTGCTGGAACCCTGTAGAACTGCATTCCATTTCTGTATCCCGAAACTCCTTAAAACTAAAAATTTAGTACAGTAAATATTTGGAAACGTGCAGCAATGCACAGTAAACGGGACAATACGAAACTGGCCCAATGAAAGCCTAACACGCTTCATAGCCTAAACCTGTGCAGAAATTATGTACGGAAGAGAAATGGGGCTGAAGATAAACCCAAATGCAACATACCTAACACTCATGCTAAAAATTTGCTTTTTGGGTAGTGTTTACCCTTATCAAGCTCCAAAAAAGACAAGATGAAATTTGTTAATCCTACAAAGGGAAATTTCATTGTTACAGCAGCAGTTACAGACAGGATTAGACAATACACACAACATGGGCACAGAATGAAAGACATAATCCTATAAATATAAACAATGTGCTGTATACAAACTAAATGGTAGCCATAGTCTATGACCTGGGGTTGTGCTGTATAAAGTGACAATTACCAGAATGTGTAAAGTTAGACCGTGGGGTTAGGGGGTTCAGTCAGGAGACATGGCACATAGCAGGAATAATAATGACAAAATAACAAGTAGTAGTATTAATAAAAATGATGATAATGGTGCCATGATGACAGGAGGATGAGGCACTACTCGCTGAGAGTAGTGGTGATTGAGATGTGCGGAATCGCTCTGTAGAGCAGCATGGGTATCGGCCTGTTGCCGTCTTGCCGATGGAGCTGCCTGGGGCACCCAGGGACTTGTGCGTCTACAAGGTATCTAGCGGACCAGTTGTGTTCAGATTTTGTTACGGCCCCGAGCACAATTATTGTGAAGTCCTTGTCAGGGGTGCATCAGGACACATGAGCATTTGCACTTGCAATCCGATTGCCCAAGACGCATTTTACAACCAAATGTGAACAGGGTCACGATTGCAGCCAAATAGTGGAAAAATTAAAAGGTAAATATGCATGCTTTGCTTTTACATACCTGGGGCCTGTTTCAGGAAGCAGGATTTCTTGCTTAGCTGGATAAGTTGTCAGATTTAAGGTAGTCTGGGCTAAATGAACTTTATCTTTGTTCACTTATATTTACCCCAGACTACCTTAAATCCAACAAGTTATCCAGCTAAGCAAGAAACCCTGCTTTGTGGAACTGGCCCCTGGTTCAGTGTGTGCAGCAAGGTTGTAACTTTAACCTTGTGCCTCCTTTGGCTTTCTTGATTCGTGCAAGGTTAGGCATATACCAGTTAAGCTTCCCCATGAAAGTCTCCTTCAAGGGGATTGTTGTGATACTCCTCAAGTTGTTTTTTTTTTGGGGAGAAAAATCATGAGACAAAAACCAACTGGCCGAACAAATGTAGAAACTTCCATAGCAGGTAAAAATGTAATCTTGAGTTTTACTGAATAGAGTTGGTCACGTTTCTCTAAAATCTTGAACTGAGGGACTCAAACTGATGACTCCCTGTCTCCATAGTGAAAAGATTTTGGCCAATTTCACAGCGATTGTTTGTCATTTTTAATTCTTTGAGAGTGTACCTTCATTTCAATATGTTTTAATCCAGCATATCTGCATTTCCACTCAGGTGTGTTGCATACTTGTTGCAAACTGTTTTTTTTTAATTGGGTGAGAAACGATGGACTACTGCAAAATGTATCAGAGTAAAAAGTCATTTGGCTCAGAAGTGTAGCAAGGTAAAAGTTGCAACAACAACTTGAGGCACTCAGAGTAAAAATCTGGGAAAAAACTTGAAGTACAGTAACATTTGTAGTTACTTTACACTTCTGAACTGAAACTCTTACAGCAACATGTGTGTGTGTGTTTGTTTGGTGACTATTTTATGATTTTTTGTATGCATATATTTACATTTACGACCATCTGACCGCTATCAAACTCCGTCAAGTGCTGGTAATGTTGTCTAGGAGACAACCGCTGTGTCTGGTGACTAGACGTACCAGCTCCTAGCAAATCAGGTCATTTACATACCCATCGCTGGTCTTCATGTGTACCAAATTACATCCAAATTGGACTGTTAATTCTGAGTTTGACTTTTTTTTTGTCACCCAGTGTATAAGCAACAATATGCGGGTCATTCCATTTTAATTCAACAAATGGTCTTAGTGTCACCGTTTCTGATTTTGATGAAATAAGTGAAGTGCTCATACTTTCCACAGGTCAGAATGAATATATATATATATATATATATATATATATATATATATATATATATATATATATATATATATATAATATAGGTGTGTCTTCTCAACTAAAGAAAGGCAAATCATTGTTATCCATGCAAATGTTGAAAAGTGTTTTTATACCAGCTCACATTAGACAACTTTGATGGATCAGACTACAGAAATAGTAAAGAAAAATTCCAATATTCATTGTCTTTTGAAATATTAGACTAGTATTTCTATTTTTAGTCACTGACTTTATTCAATGTGGCAGAAGGGTGTTCATGCACTTCCCATATGCACCCATTATTTTAAAGTAAAATGGAACTGGTTACTTCACTCCAATACTGAGCATGTAAAGTTTTAGGGTTCTTCCAGACTTTTGACTCACCCTGTGTCTCCATTGTCATGAAATACATAATTTGAACCAGTAATTGTAATCAGTAACTTGTCTTTCTTCTGTTAAGCTGTCTTGGTGGAACAGAAGGACACAAACATCAAAATGAGATTGACCTTTTTGAAGTTATTGATCCAAATGTAAGCCTCCCTCTATATTTTCCTTGCATGAAGGCTATTTAATTATTTATTTTGCATGTGCATGTAGTTCAACACATAAAAGTAACAGTCTGCCATGTTCCAATTTTCATACAGGAATCCAAGCACAAACGGACGGATAGATCTGTACTGTGTTATTTACGAAAAGTTGAATCTGGGAAGTCTTGGCCAAGGTTAACAAAAGACAAGGCAAAAGTAAGCCTTAAATTATATTTTTGTGTGTGTGTGCGCGCCAATTGTTTTTTCTTTCTTTTTTTACAAAAAGTATGAGTTATGTCATCTGAGGGATAGCCAACATGAATTTAAGAGAGGTAGATCCTGTTCAGTTAATCTACTTGAGTTCTTTGAGGAAGCTACAAGAGAAATTGATCAAAAAAAAGGCCTATGATGTAATGGGAAGTAGCAGGTAGTTATTAGAGGAACAATGTCACAGTGGGCCAGCGTTCATAGTGGGGTGCCACAGGGTTCAATTTTAGGACCACTATTCCTAATTTACATTAATGATATTGACACCAATACATACAGTACACTGGTTAAATTTGCAGAGGACATCGAGCTGAGTGGTGTAGCAGATACTGAACTAGAAGCACAGAGGCTACAACGGGATCTTGATTTAATTAGCGACGGCTGATACCTGGCAGATGAAATTTAACGTAGATAAATGTAAGGTAATCCATGCAGGGAGCAGAAATATAAAGTACAGGTATTTTATGGGTTCCACTAAAATAAAGGTAGCTGATTATGAGAAGGACCTCAGTGTGTATGTTGATGCTTCCATGTCCCACTCTTGCCAGTGTGGGGAAGTAATTAAAAAGCCCAATAGGATGTTGTGTGTGTGGAGTTTATGTCAAGGGAGGTAATGCTAAGATTATACAATTCCTTGGTAAGACCCCACCTAGAATATTGTGTGCATGTGTGGTCACCATACCTTAAAAAGGACATTGCTTCCTTGGAAAAGGTTCAACGTAGGACTACAAGAATGATTCCTGGTCTTAGAGGAATGTCTTACGAGGAGAGGTTAGCTGAGCTGAATCTGTTCAGCCTCAAACAAATGAGACTAAGGGGGGACATGATCCAGGTATATGAAATTCTAGCAGGTCTGGATGCTGTTCAGCCAAATGGCTACTTCAACATTAGTTTAAATACTAGAACTCATGGCCATAGGTGGAAATTAGTGGGAGAGCATTTTAAAATGGATTTGAGAAAGCACTTCTTTTCACATTGTGTAGTTAGAGTATGGAATAGTCTTCCTGCTAGTATAGCGGAAGCTAAAACCTTGGGTTCCTTTAAATCAGAGCTAGATATGATTTTAACAACTATGAGCTATTAGTTGAGTTCTCCCCAAATGAGCTTGATGGGTACTTTTGTAAAAATGTTTTATTCTTATCACACGTACCATTTGGAGATGCCATCATGAAATCGTGTTTGTATTCTTCAGCTAAGTTGGCTTGGTGTTGATTTTAATAACTGGAAGGACTGGGAAGATGATTCAGATGAAGAACTTTCTAGTTTTGACCGTTTCTCAGAGGTGAGTGGATCTTCAGGTGTTCCTAAAACTTCACCTGTAAAATGTTACTGTCCCTGAAGTGGCTGAAAGGAACCTTTGGATATGTTCGTTTTTGCAGATGATGAACAACATGGGCGGGGAAGATGAACTGCCCGATGTGGATGGCGCAGTTGAAGTAAGATTTGGACAAAGTAATAAATCAGCAGGCATGTTTATAAGCAGGGATTCACATAACTGGTATGCAAGTACGCATTCCCCATATAAAGCAATACATGTGGCAATGTCTTGTCATTGCAGTGAAAATGCGTATTTATGCGCATTTACCCTGTATTGATAAAAAGTTACTGGGCATTTGAACCTTTTTACGGCTAATGCATTCTTCATTCGCGGTAAAAAGGTTCAAATCTGCAACGATTTCTTGTCATGTCAGCACACATGCACATAAAGAGTAGCAGCAAAAATGCGCATTCGAGGAGAGATTGCCGGCACATTGCTTTGCATGGCGAATGCGTACTTGTGTACCAGTTATGTGCATCCCTGTTTAAACCTGCCTGTTTAATAATCGGTACAGGGTTATACTTGCCCCTCCATGATGTAGCCATTAATATGCAGTGCAGCTCTGTTAAAAAATAGAATTTGAGGGCGAATACACTTGGCGGCCATCTTTTTAGATATGTCTGCCTAGTACTAAGTAGGGCACTGTCTTGTCTCCAAAATCACTTCAGCAGATTGCGTTTGCAGGTGCCTTTCTGCACATCACTATTGTGCCGTTCTGCACATCACTATTGTACTGATGTATAATTTTTTTGTTATTTTACAAATCACTTTCCTCTGACCTGTGATAAAGTGTTATATGTACCAGAACTGCTGCTAACTGGATTTTTTTGGATTGAAGCATTCCCAGTAGACTCTAGGTACTGTGGTACTTGGAAATTGCAGAAAGGTAGCCGATTCTGAGATGCTGGAACCAGATCAGTCCCTGGCAATGATGTCACAGACCACGCATCTCAGCTGTTCCAATGCTTGAATTGTAGCGCTGGACAATATATTGATACAATATCAAATTGGGATTATGAACATTCATATCAATTTGAATTATGTATCATTGATATACAACCTGGGTATCGTGGTACAGCTTAAACACTTGTTTTCTTGCATAATTAACTGTTCTTGGCAAAATTTATTATACCTGTGACATACACCAAAACTACCAGTAAAACAATTTGGTCATCATAATTAGAAAAACTTAGACCCACCTGCTAATGAATTTTAGAATATCACCATAAATCTTGATATTGTGAAAATTACTGCTAATGCTCATTTCTATGGTTAAAATTTTAATTAATTTGTGATTAACAGGATGAATATGCTGACAGTGATGATGAAAGTAAGTTTCTTCAGTTGATTTTCAAAATCTCTGTTCATCCCGTTCTCATTTAAACATTTTTATTAAGCGCTGTTATTTTTCCACAGAAATGCCTGACCTTGAATGAAGATGGGATTCCCTGTTACCGCTGGAAGGATTTTAAATCTGAAGAACAAACTATAGGCAAAAGCTAGTAAACCATTGCACTTTTTAGAAGTTTACAGCAGTCATAAAATAGCTTCACTGAGTGTGGATATACAAACCTGTACAGAACCGTCTTTGGCCATTGACAGTGCAGTGCTTTATTGTTAATCTGCATGGACTGTTTCCAGGATGCCCATCAATAAAAAAGCACCGATTTTGATTAAACAAAAAGACAGATTAGTCTGGGGCTGATATTCATAAGTTAAGCCTTTCCCCCCCCCCTCCCCCTTATTCTGTGTAGTAGTAACACAATGGCAGCAGCAAGCATTACAGTTTTTAGTAAAGTTAATTTTCTAAACTGATTTTTTGTAGTTTACTCTATGTTTCCAATAAGGGCAGTTGTGAAGCAGGTTTTTAAGTATTTTTTTCCTGCTTTTGTTACAAAGTTACAAATGTTAGTATTTCACTATTTTGGTATTTAAAGTGAATGGTGTTACTTTTAGGGGAGATATTTGCGGTCTTTCATGATAAACGCTTTTCACAGTTGTGTTTATGACAGGGTATTTAGCTTTTTTGTATCTTAATGCCTTTTTTTTTAAACATGACATTTTTAGTTACATTTTATCACTCAAGGGAAAGCAGGGGGGTATTCCATCAATATCGCCAAATTAATCTGTGCTTAACTGAATTAGCTTGGCTTGAGTTATTGTTGATTCCCACTGAAAGGTCAAGCCATTCTATGAAAACAAATTGGCCACACCTTGTTCACGTTAACTCAAGCCAAGCTTGTTAAAGCCCTCGTCGTGCACTTTTGCAGCCCTGAACAGACAATTGTCGATATGAGCAATGATTTCACAAAAAGAAGGCAAAACGAGAGCGGTGTGATCTCCACAGCCAACCAAACGCTGCTCGTGTAGATATGTGGATTACAAGGCTGTAATCACAAGAAAAAAGGTAACACTACCACTATTAATAAGGCAAGTGAGGTGACATGGAAAGATATCAGCTAGATTAAATGTGTGAGTAGCTGTTCCTGTTAATGAAATGGTGAAGCGTCTGATTGGTGACAAATTGCTGGTTCGAGCTTTCATGAAATTCAGAAATGCATATAGCACAGGTCACGGACTTTTTCATTGAGTGCTGTATTAAAAGAACAATATACAACCATATTTCATACTAAGTGTGTGTGTGTGTGTGTGTGTGTGTGTGTGTGTGTGTGTGTGTGTGTGTGTGTGTGTGTGTGTGTGTGTGTGTTCGTTCGTTCGTTCCTGTGCCTGTGCTTGGTGCTCTCAGAGAAGGTGGTGCCCAGATCTCCATATGGTTAATCCAGCCCTTTTTGGTTTTGTTGTAAAAAGGGCCCTCCTCACTGATAATGCTGTATCAGTTAAATAGCCAACTGATTTTTTCCCCTTCATTATTGTACGCTGACATGTATGTCACATTATAAGTGTCCCATACTATAGGAATGTCTGTCCTATCTTCTGAAATAATCATGACAGGTGAACATACGTGTGTGGAGCGTGTGCTTTGACGTCAAAGAGTCAAAATAGGGGGAAAAAATTGACAGCTGTTTTTAGGGGATTTCGTTTCGCTTCTGCCAGGTGGGACTCATTTGCCACAAGGCTAAACTAAGTTTAGCCTGTTCAGTTAATCTACTTGAGTTAGCCTGCTACAAAGCTGCCACTTAATATAATGATATTGATCAAAATAAAGCAGGGTTTTTTATTTTGCGACCTTGAAGGAATACACCCCAGGTACGAAGAAACTTCCACAGGTAAACAAAGTGGTGGCACAAACAGAAAAAGAAGCCTGATATTTGTGTGACCCGTAAACAATTTCAAATTTTTCGAATTTGCAGTAGTTTATTGTCTGAATCTTAAAGTGGAAGGAAATTAAACAACCAAGTAGTTTTACTCTGGACTTTAGTGTGACAGGTGCAGTGTTTTTGTCTTTCTAATAAATTGTAAAGATATTTGCTTTCATACACTATGCCCATCTTTAAATTGTCTTTCAGCTAGTGTTTGAGGGCATTGATGCATTATATAACAACATGGAAGTATGTTTGTTTTTTTTTTTTTAAATAAAAAAAAAATGTTATATGATGTAATGGGCATCAGCCCCTTTACAGAGCTCACAGAAACTCCTGGGATGGATGCTTAATTCAATAAAAATGTGGCAAATTTATTGGTTTCAAAACAAAAGTCCATTGACAAACATTGTCTAACATATCTGCAGATATCTTCCACACAGACATTTTCTTTTTATTAGGTGCCATAATTGTCTTGACTGACTCATTTACTTCTGTTTTTGCCCTCTCGCTATTATTTGCAATTGTTGTCATTGACTCCCAAAGGGGTACTAAACACAAATGATTGGCGTTTCATGTTCTTTCATGTTCGTGTTACTAATTAAAAAGCACCCAATAAGATTGATTGTTGATGAGTTTTATGACTCTTTTAGTACTATAATTTGGGTTTCAGTTTATTACTACCCCCTCCAATGGCCTCACCACCCGTAGGAGGGGCCATAGAGGTTGGGTGCAGTGTGAGTTGGGCAGTGGCCGAAGGCGGGGACCTTGGCGGTCCGATCCTCGGCTGCAGAAGCTAGCTCTAGGGACATGGAATGTCACCCCTCTGGTGGGGAAGGAGCCTGAGCTGGTGTGCGAGGTTGTGAGGTTCCTACTAGATGTAGTCGGGCTCATCTCAACACATGGCTTGGGCTCTGGAACCAGTCTCCTTGAAGGGGGTTGGACCCTCTTCCACTCTGGAGTTGCTCGCGGGGAGAGGCGCCGAGCGGGGGTGGGCATACTTATTGCCCCCTGGCTGGGTGCCTGTACATTGGGGTTTACCGCGGTAGACCAGAGGGGGACGGGTCCTGACTGTTGCTTGCGCTTACGGGACAAACGACAGTTCAGAATACCCACCATTTTTGGAGTTCTTGGAAGGGGTGTTGGAGAGCACTCCTCCTGGGGACTCTCTTGTTCGATGATCGACTTTGTGGTTGTGTCGTTGGACTTTCTAAGGGTCCTGTTCACAAACACTGGGAGCATCCTTTGTCACATTCAGACAGAGGGACAGGAAAGTTAAAAAGAACTGTTGAGGAAGAATAAGAGCAAAATATAGCAAGATGCTTGCACCTGCACAAAATACCACAAATGTGTTCTCCCACAACTTTTCATTATTAAAAAAACTTTTTTTGTCATAATAATGCAAATGCAAATCCTTCTCCATTGAATTACTGTGAAATTGAGACTGCATCCTCACCCATGCCACACTGGATTGGTTAAGAAATGTGAATTCGCGGGTCAAAGTTTATTTAAATGAACTCTGATCATAAACACCTCACGAATTTGCTGAACTACCAGAGGCTTATTTTCATTAAATGTAAGGTGAATATTATTTGTGCTAGTGTGACAGCACCTTAAGTCACCACAACATTTTTTTTTTAAGTAAATTAAATGAGTGACTTCAAAGAAACTGTCCTGTCCTTGATTCCTAAGCCTTTCTATCCCAGTGACTGCAAGCACATTTTGTTTGGGGCTTTTTTAAACTTTGGATTTCATTAGCGAAGTATTTTGTGATTTAAAAAAAATAAATATGTATCGAAATATCTAATCATGAGGCCATGTGGACACAACAGCAATACTATTAATTGTTACAGAAATGCTTTTAATGAACATCTATATACAGTTTTATATATTCAATATTCAATGTATGTGAATGTGTGTGTATGTATATATATCAAATGTCCTTAGACACAAAGATAGCCTTCCTCATTATTTAGAAAGAGATAACTCCACATACCTGCATACTGTTTAAAGTCAGTCATCTAAATTCCAATCACAGATTAAGTTCATCATTTCCACCTCTAGGAACCACATATTAGGCTCATGTCTTAAGTTGCTTTGAAAGAAATATTCAATGCATAATTGCAGTTGAATTTGTATGTATAATGTATGTATAATGCATTTTAGATAAATCAACAGCCTTTAGCCATTTAAAAATGAAGGCATGACTCAGCAGCCAGACTCAAGGAACATCCGACTCTGATAACTGGAATTTTACACGTCACCCTGAGCCATGCCCTTTGAGGTACTGTTGGAATGCCCCTTATTGTTCCCCTGGAGATTGCATGTCCACACCCCTTGAGGCATGATAGGAACTCCATTTCAGGTTCCCCTGGAGATTGCATGTCCACACCCCTTGAGGCATGATAGGAACTCCATTTCAGGTTCCCCTGGAGATTGCATGTCCACACCCCTTGAGGCATGATAGGAACTCCATTTCAGGTTCCCCTGGAGATTGCATGTCC